GAGAATTTCTGCGAACCCATCTGTTGTCAGCATTTTGGGTCAATCCAAATGATTGTATCACTCCTCCTGATATTGTGCAATGCCTACTAGGTGGGACAAATATTTCATCCTCCAGTGGAACTTCAAAATGTTCTAGGATGCGGGTGACCAAAGTTGGATATGGTAAAGGAGCACCTGGCCTCAAAGCCTTCTTCATCCTATGTCGGATGAGATGGGTCCAGTTTATCTGCTTTGCCGTCATTATTATCCACATTATCAGAAGATCTTCCTCGGTTGCCTGTGCAAAGTTAGAAACACGTGGAAACAAAACACGACATATAGCATAATGTAATACTCTAGCCTCAGCTGTCATATTGCCGGCTAGAATTCTAGTGGTAGGAGGATTGTGTGGCAAACAAATGAATTGTCTAACAACGTCTATATTGTATTCATCGGTCCAATCCTCAAATAATTTTCCCTCAAACTTCAACCCAACAGAGGGAAGGTTGGCTATGGAAGCAAAAATGCTGGGTTTGATAATAATTTGCACATTGTTCACCTCAGTTTTCATTGTTCCATTTTCAGAAAATTTGAGGTTACTATAAAACACACGTACCAAATCAGGATAATAACGCGCAACATCGCAGCAAAATTCATCCAATCCCAAATTTTTGAGCATTCCAAAAAATTCAAAACTATGACTTTCAAAATATTCGTCATCTAGGTATTTTGGCTCAATGATTTGATGGTCTTTATATAGTGAGAAATACCTTTGGGCTAGTGCAGGAGTTGAAAATTGAAGATTTTGGTGTGGAGCAGTCGGTGACGGTGGTGGTGAGGGCGAAGGTGAGTTTTCTGCGGGGGAAGGTTAACGGCGGCAACATCCCCCAGCTGTAGAAGATGACCCCCCTTAGTCTTTGCCTCTTTGAAGATTCCGCCATTTCAAATTCCAATCGGTGCAAATTGAAGAGAATTGAAAGGGGAGTTGAAAAATGGTGTTTTGAAGTGAAAATTGTGGAAGAAAAGTTGATTTTTGAGGTTGGAGAGGAGGGGAAACCGTGGGGAGGCGCTGCTACTGGAGTGAGAGTGGTTTGAGTTCGTAAGGAGAGATAAAAAGGTGAATATATAGGCTAGGGTAGGGCTTGTAATCGATTACAGAGTTTTTGTAATCGATTACAAGAGTGCACTGGTAATCGATTACACAAACCCTGTAATCGATTACCAGCGTCTCTGGTAATGGATTACAACAAATCCTGTAATCACTTACATGGTGTAACTGGTAATCGATTACAGGCTTTCTGTAAGCGATTACTAGTGTGTGGAGGATCAAATTTTGATTTATTCTTTGCTTTAGTATTGATTGAATGCATGATATTTTAAAATTGATTTATGTATAAAGTTGTTTTGACACGATGTGCAATAATAACGTCAAAGGATAACACTTTATAATGAAATAAATCTTATTGATTAATTAAGATATTATAGACAAATTACATAATTATAAATAAAGATCTCAACAAATCTATCTATGTCCTGCAGTCCCACACGTTGGTCTTCGTCGTTGTCGTTGTCCTCGCCTTTGTTGTTGTTGTTGTTGTAGTGTGGGACTCTGCGTGTGTTGGTCTTCATCCGTGGGATGAGTTTCATTGGACTGCTGAAGGTTTTGGAAATCATATGTCGGTCGATACACGTTATGTGACGATGAAGCGTGTTGGCATGAAGATGGTGGAGTCGTTGTCGAGGTTCCAAAATAATTGGAAGGACCTCCAATAAAAGATAATGGACCTCCACTGAACGGTGTTGAAGGTGGAATGGCGAAATAAGAGGTCTCAACCCCAGGATATGTTGATGTCGGTGGGATGTGTTGTTGGAACCTTGAATTCAGATGTGGACGTTGATAGTTGACATGGTTAGAGGCAGACCTTTGTGGATCATGATACGGTGGTGATGCGTGGAATGCAGATGGCGGTTGAAACTGTTGTTCGTGGTCCATCTCATACTGCCAAATACAATGTGTGATATGAAGAACGCAATAGAATAAGACTTTCATAATTTAAATGGTGCGGATATTGTAGTACCTCTTCGTCGGTTGAATCTTCTATGACAACAATATAGCGGATTGTATGATTTATATACCATTGCATGTACTCGGATTCATCTCGCAAGTGACCATTTTTTTTTTGGAAAGGAATACCATTGAATACACGATTATGCTGGTCATTCCATAATGCAATCCACTGTCCATGGTGTTCCTGCCAATTCCAATCAGCGCATCCTCTCATATCCTGTTTATGTTCCTCATCTAGATTCATCGGTGGATGGGGTACATTTTGTCGAAATCCAAATTGACGCATGACACGGTCTGATTGTTGGTATTCTACAACAGAGAAACATATTAGAGGCACAACTACCCGAAAAGTCGGGGCCACTTCGACTGGAATGATTTGAGCAAGGAGATCACGTCTGTACGGTGTCCATATAAAATGAAGTATTGAAGATATTAAAGATAGTAGTAATTAAGCCAAATGTTAACATAATTTGTACAAGGTTTAATAGCCAATTTAGTCCCCACTTTGGTTGAAAAATCTCAATTTAGTCCCTCGTTATAAAAGTGTTTTACATTAGTCCTAACTTTTAAAATAGTGGGTCAGATTGGTCCCTTTCGTTAAATATAAGTTAACGAAATTAATGGATGATGATGTGACACAGCTTAAAGCTGATGTGTTAGATTGGTCCCTCGTTAGCTTTAAGTTGTGTCACATCATCATCCATTAATTTTGTTAACTTATATTTAACAGAAAGGACCAATCTGACCCACTATTTTAAAAGTTAGGACTAATTCAAAACACTTTTATAACGAGGGACTAAATTGAGATTTTTCAACCAAAGTGAGGACTAAATTGGCTATTAAACCTTTGTACAACAATATTAAGTTCAGAGGTGAAAAATACCTGTCTAGGTGATAGGTCGTCTAACTTTTGACGAAATTGTTTCACAGTTGTTGTGTCATGATGTATTGACTGTGTTGTGCGACACCATCTTTTCACCAGTGGAAAAACTGCACCAGAAGATATGTCGTCTTCTGTGACTTCAAGTAATTGTGGTGAAATACATGTTATTCGTTCCCATGCCCAGCATTGTAACAAGATCATGCACCCTCCGATATTCTCTTGGTCAGCCCTAGTGCCATGATCAAGGGCACGATACAAGCAGGAAAGCATTGCGGATCCCCAGCTATACTGTGAAACGTTCTGCAGGTCCGCCAAAAGGGGAAGATACATCAAATGCACCATGCTTGCAGATGTGTCTGGCATCATGATGTTGCCAATTATCATCAACATATACGCTCTAGCGTATTGTTCAATAACCTGATCGGTGACATCATGAGGCAAATGGCGAAAAGTGTTATTCAGCCAAGACAACTTTATTCTGTTACCCCTGACATTGTTCTCAGGAGGAACATCTCCTAGTAGTTGATGACAAAACACTGTTAGAGGACCACTACTAATGCCAGTGACCACATGTCCTTCAATGGGAAGCCCTAGTTGTAATGCAACGTCTTCCAATGTTATAGTACTTTCACCAAGAGGCAAGTGGAAAGTATGAGTCTCGACTCTCCACCTCTCAACCAAAGCAGTCACTAGGTGGTGATTTATTTCCATTGTTGATGCTTTCAAAATATGGATAAACCCTGCTGCGTGTAAAATATTCATGATTCTTTCATCAAGTTCGTTAACATGCTTTGCTATCCAAATTGCATGTCTTCGAGGGCAAATAACTCGTTCGTTGCCTTCCCAAATTGACTTGACAATGTGTTTATCTTGTAGACGTAGAAGGGACATATCAACGGGAAGTTGACGGGCAGAAGCCATATTGAATTTTCTGGGTGAAACTGGGATATCTAAGCAATGACAAAGGGTTAAGTGCTTTGGCTATTGGAACTCACAATTGAAAAGGGTAGACGGTGGGAGAAATGAAATGACCCTCCACATATTTAACTACAACCATTGATGCCCAAAGAATCTTCAAAGTCACGTGGTTGAGGACATGGAAATTACAATTCAAACTTTGTAATGAGCGGTCTTCATGAAAGAATCTTCAAACCTGCAAATATTAAAGGGAGGCATGTGATTGAATAGGAGGTTATAGGACGAATCTTGAATGTGAAATCTGCACCAAATTTAGGCATGCAAATGAATAGGAAAGTTGAATAGCATGACTAATGTTGGTGGTCAGAGGCTAAGGTGCAGAGTGCATGTGTAGAAGGTCATCACACCTACCACCTCATTTTAATGAATTGCAATAAATATTTTTTCCATAAAATAAAATGTAAAAATATGTAATGAATTTTAATAAATAAAATGTATTTAATGAATTTTATTGAATTGTAATATTGAAGCATTTTATTAGAGTTAAAAAATAATTTTTTAAATTGTGAAAATTTTAGAAATAGGATTTTAAATAAAAAAAATGAAAAAAGGGAAGTTGTGGGGAGGGGGAACGACTTCACCTATTGAAATCGTGCCCCCTCCCCACAACTTCCCTTTTTTCATTTTTTTTATTTAAATCCTAGTTGTGAAATTTTCCTATTTCAGATTTTAATTATTTCTAAAATATATTATTTTTATACATCTAAATACTACATTATTTATTTTTTAACAACAATAAAACAAATTATTTTCTCAATATGTATAAGTAATAAAAAAAAACGTGTGATAAAAAGCTTATGATATCAGACCACACTGCAAATGACTTTATACGGAATGAAATAAATGTAATACTATACATACGTTATAATTGCATGGAAGTCTATATACATATATAACAGTGCTATATTGACAGTGCTATATTATTGTTCAGTACTTCTATTTTAGACCGTAACACCCACTTATCAGTACTTCCTATTTTAGACCGTAACAACCAGTTACCAGTTATCAAAAGTAACCTTCCCCTCCCCACAACTTCTATATATATCTATATATCAGTCTTTAACAAATCCATCTTACATAGTCTTTAACAATATGGCATCAGGGAACTTTCCAGCATCTTCATCATCGCAATTCATCGACGAACAACCTTTGATATTAGATAACGTCGATGACTTCAGCACCGATGATGAATTAGACAACATACTTGAAGATGACAACAACGACGACCACATCACACAATCATCTGCACATGTCGTTGCAGAGTTGAATGAACGTATGCAGTTCCAGTCAAAGGACAAAACTATTGCTGCAATCAAACATTATCACATAACCAACGGTTACAAATACACCGTCGTTGAATCGAAGCCCAACATTTATGTTATTCGTTGTGTGGAATATCACAACGGTTGTCAATGGCGTTTGAGGGCAGCTTATAGCAAAGTCCGTAAATATTGGGAAATCAAAAATATAGACGGACAACATTCGTGTTTCTCAACAATACTATCTGAAGATCATACAAATCTTGATAGTACTCACATTGCCGCGATCATATCAAATTCAATCCGGACAAACCCATCCATTCCAATCAAGAGTTTGATTGCAGATATTAAAGGTCGATTCGGATATTCTGTGTCATATAGAAAAGCTTGGATCGCTAAACAAAAGGCTCTTGCTATGGAGTTTGGAGACTGGGAGGACTCTTATAACCACATGCCGAGGTGGTTGCATGCCATCAAGGAAGCAAACCCAGGTACAATTTTACAATGCACTGGTTCTCCAGTGCAGATTGATGGACAAACCGACAATAATTGCTATATTATGGAAAGAGTTTTCTGGTCTTTCGGTCCTTGCATACAAGGATTCAAATACTGTAAACCCATTCTCCAAGTTGATGGTACATTTCTAACGGGTAAATATCATGGAACTTTGCTCACCGCCATAGCTCAAGATGGCAATAGAAATCTTTTCCCATTGGCCTTTGCCATTGTAGAAGGTGAGACAAAGGAGGCCTTGATATGGTTCTTTCAACTACTTCGAGAACATGTTTGCCATCAACAAAATATTTACATCATCATTGACATAGGAAAGGGTATCCTATCGGCCTTGAGATCGGAAGAAGTTGGTTGGGAACAAGATGGTTTGAACTCTGTTTATTGCATACGTCATCTAGCATCCAACTTCAACAACAGATTCAAAAATCACGACCTCAAAAAACAATTCATCAATTTAGGTACTACTACAAACATTCTTCATACATTTTTACTTTTATAATTTTGTTAACATTATTCTTTAATTTATTTATTCATTACATCATTACAGCTTACGAGGTCAAGCAACCAACTGTGACGGCAAAACTTGCTGCATTGAGAAACCAATACCCACAACAAGTTGATTGGATAGATAAAATCCCATTACAAAAATGGTCTCAGGCTTTTGATGGAGGGAGAAGATATGGACATATGACGACTAATCTTGCTGAGTGCACCAACTCCATTTTAAAGGGAGCACGTTCATTACCAATATGTGCTCTCATCAGAACAACATTTGAGAGGACACAATCATGGTTTGTTGAACGCGGATTAAAGGCGAACTGTATGCTACAAGCAGGACACCAATTTCCTGAACAAATCGCCGACATCATTAGGAAAAATCAACAACAATCCGCATTTTGTCATGTTCATCGCTACAACCGTGAAAATTCTGAATTTGATGTTCAGGAANAGGTTTAATAGCCAATTTAGTCCCCACTTTGGTTGAAAAATCTCAATTTAGTCCCTCGTTATAAAAGTGTTTTACATTAGTCCTAACTTTTAAAATAGTGGGTCAGATTGGTCCCTTTCGTTAAATATAAGTTAACGAAATTAATGGATGATGATGTGACACAGCTTAAAGCTGATGTGTTAGATTGGTCCCTCGTTAGCTTTAAGTTGTGTCACATCATCATCCATTAATTTTGTTAACTTATATTTAACAGAAAGGACCAATCTGACCCACTATTTTAAAAGTTAGGACTAATTCAAAACACTTTTATAACGAGGGACTAAATTGAGATTTTTCAACCAAAGTGAGGACTAAATTGGCTATTAAACCTTTGTACAACAATATTAAGTTCAGAGGTGAAAAATACCTGTCTAGGTGATAGGTCGTCTAACTTTTGACGAAATTGTTTCACAGTTGTTGTGTCATGATGTATTGACTGTGTTGTGCGACACCATCTTTTCACCAGTGGAAAAACTGCACCAGAAGATATGTCGTCTTCTGTGACTTCAAGTAATTGTGGTGAAATACATGTTATTCGTTCCCATGCCCAGCATTGTAACAAGATCATGCACCCTCCGATATTCTCTTGGTCAGCCCTAGTGCCATGATCAAGGGCACGATACAAGCAGGAAAGCATTGCGGATCCCCAGCTATACTGTGAAACGTTCTGCAGGTCCGCCAAAAGGGGAAGATACATCAAATGCACCATGCTTGCAGATGTGTCTGGCATCATGATGTTGCCAATTATCATCAACATATACGCTCTAGCGTATTGTTCAATAACCTGATCGGTGACATCATGAGGCAAATGGCGAAAAGTGTTATTCAGCCAAGACAACTTTATTCTGTTACCCCTGACATTGTTCTCAGGAGGAACATCTCCTAGTAGTTGATGACAAAACACTGTTAGAGGACCACTACTAATGCCAGTGACCACATGTCCTTCAATGGGAAGCCCTAGTTGTAATGCAACGTCTTCCAATGTTATAGTACTTTCACCAAGAGGCAAGTGGAAAGTATGAGTCTCGACTCTCCACCTCTCAACCAAAGCAGTCACTAGGTGGTGATTTATTTCCATTGTTGATGCTTTCAAAATATGGATAAACCCTGCTGCGTGTAAAATATTCATGATTCTTTCATCAAGTTCGTTAACATGCTTTGCTATCCAAATTGCATGTCTTCGAGGGCAAATAACTCGTTCGTTGCCTTCCCAAATTGACTTGACAATGTGTTTATCTTGTAGACGTAGAAGGGACATATCAACGGGAAGTTGACGGGCAGAAGCCATATTGAATTTTCTGGGTGAAACTGGGATATCTAAGCAATGACAAAGGGTTAAGTGCTTTGGCTATTGGAACTCACAATTGAAAAGGGTAGACGGTGGGAGAAATGAAATGACCCTCCACATATTTAACTACAACCATTGATGCCCAAAGAATCTTCAAAGTCACGTGGTTGAGGACATGGAAATTACAATTCAAACTTTGTAATGAGCGGTCTTCATGAAAGAATCTTCAAACCTGCAAATATTAAAGGGAGGCATGTGATTGAATAGGAGGTTATAGGACGAATCTTGAATGTGAAATCTGCACCAAATTTAGGCATGCAAATGAATAGGAAAGTTGAATAGCATGACTAATGTTGGTGGTCAGAGGCTAAGGTGCAGAGTGCATGTGTAGAAGGTCATCACACCTACCACCTCATTTTAATGAATTGCAATAAATATTTTTTCCATAAAATAAAATGTAAAAATATGTAATGAATTTTAATAAATAAAATGTATTTAATGAATTTTATTGAATTGTAATATTGAAGCATTTTATTAGAGTTAAAAAATAATTTTTTAAATTGTGAAAATTTTAGAAATAGGATTTTAAATAAAAAAAATGAAAAAAGGGAAGTTGTGGGGAGGGGGAACGACTTCAATAGGTGAAGTCGTGTACCCCCTACAAGACTTCAACCATTGAAGTCGTGTAGGGGGTACACGACTTCACCTATTGAAATCGTGCCCCCTCCCCACAACTTCCCTTTTTTCATTTTTTTTATTTAAATCCTAGTTGTGAAATTTTCCTATTTCAGATTTTAATTATTTCTAAAATATATTATTTTTATACATCTAAATACTACATTATTTATTTTTTAACAACAATAAAACAAATTATTTTCTCAATATGTATAAGTAATAAAAAAAAACGTGTGATAAAAAGCTTATGATATCAGACCACACTGCAAATGACTTTATACGGAATGAAATAAATGTAATACTATACATACGTTATAATTGCATGGAAGTCTATATACATATATAACAGTGCTATATTGACAGTGCTATATTATTGTTCAGTACTTCTATTTTAGACCGTAACACCCACTTATCAGTACTTCCTATTTTAGACCGTAACAACCAGTTACCAGTTATCAAAAGTAACCTTCCCCTCCCCACAACTTCTATATATATCTATATATCAGTCTTTAACAAATCCATCTTACATAGTCTTTAACAATATGGCATCAGGGAACTTTCCAGCATCTTCATCATCGCAATTCATCGACGAACAACCTTTGATATTAGATAACGTAGATGACTTCAGCACCGATGATGAATTAGACAACATACTTGAAGATGACAACAACGACGACCACATCACACAATCATATGCACATGTCGTTGCAGAGTTGAATGAACGTATGCAGTTCAAGTCAAAGGACAAAACTATTGCTGCAATCAAACATTATCACATAACCAACGGTTACAAATACACCGTCGTTGAATCGAAGCCCAACATTTATGTTATTCGTTGTGTGGAATATCACAACGGTTGTCAATGGCGTTTGAGGGCAGCTTATAGCAAAGTCCGTAAATATTGGGAAATCAAAAATATAGACGGACAACATTCGTGTTTCTCAACAATACTATCTGAAGATCATACAAATCTTGATAGTACTCACATTGCCGCGATCATATCAAATTCAATCCGGACAAACCCATCCATTCCAATCAAGAGTTTGATTGCAGATATTAAAGGTCGATTCGGATATTCTGTGTCATATAGAAAAGCTTGGATCGCTAAACAAAAGGCTCTTGCTATGGAGTTTGGAGACTGGGAGGACTCTTATAACCACATGCCGAGGTGGTTGCATGCCATCAAGGAAGCAAACCCAGGTACAATTTTACAATGCACTGGTTCTCCAGTGCAGATTGATGGACAAACCGACAATAATTGCTATATTATGGAAAGAGTTTTCTGGTCTTTCGGTCCTTGCATACAAGGATTCAAATACTGTAAACCCATTCTCCAAGTTGATGGTACATTTCTAA